AGGATAACTAAGTAAAGTACAGTATATAGCTCGTATACGCTAGCCCTCTACATCCTCGGTAAACTAATTTTCCTATTCCTACCTAACTTAATCCAACCAGTTTAGAAGGGGATCTAGCAACTTTCTTTTCTTTTTCTAGGGTCGCACGTCCTTAGCCGACTTCGAAACACTCCGGACGGTGTAGGAGACACGTAGTGCCGGAAAGATATTGGCTAGTCTATTGGTGTTAAATGTTATCTCTACATGATAGTGGATGAAATAGTGTAGAAAGTGTTCAAGAAGTGACGTCCGACGGACAATTCTTTCCACGCATCGAACTTGAACAATAAACTTGTGTATTCATTTAACGCCGTCCGATGTTACCAAATCCTAAATCGACAGTGAGACCAAGTAACTATTTTGTCAATCGCAAATAACAACACTTACTTTAGATTTTAGGGAAGAGCTAAAGAATCGGTGGAGTCGGTCTATTAACACTCGGTCCAATTTATTCTACATGTTACAAGTTCTCTACTACTGTAGGAGTTAGCGAGTACCCTCTTACGCCCCCTTTCCCGTACCCTGACGTTTTTTAGAGCTCTACCGCAAACCCTTAACGTGGTTTCTACCCTTTTACCTTACAAATACCCATCTACTCCCCCTATTCTAGCCGTTGTATACTCGTAATTATAGTCTAGCTACCGGGGGAAAAAAGAGAGCAAGTAGGAGGGAGAAAAAGGATGGGTAGGTATACAAGAATCTTTAGCACGACACGTGTACGAGCTTAGCCTCTTTAGAAAGATGGTATTAGGGGCTAGGGATAAGCGATACGTACGACTAAAATGTTGTCCCGCTTTTATCCCTATATCTCTCTCCCCTGTCTCTCCCTCTCTCCCTCACTCTGTTTTCTAAATAACAAATTGGGGCACCAAAATTATATGATAGCGAGCTTTATACGATAGCGAGCCTGCGAGAGTAACAATACGACAGTAATTATAACGAGGGTAGCGAGTACTAACGGCACGCAAAGAGCCAAGCTCTAATCTCAAGTAAAGTAGGCGTACAGGGCCTATAGGGCGTGCAGTAGGGGTACAGGCATAGTAGTAGTGGTAGTAAGTATATAACCTTTACGATTTGCTGATATATTGTTTCCGACCTAAGTGTATTTATTAGGATGCTGTAATACACTAGATGACGTAGGAAATAAACTTGTCTTGTCTAATTTTGGGGGGAGTCTAGTCTTATCGCCTAGCTCTGGATTTATTAGGCCCTAGGAAACTAGCAGAAACCGACAGAAATCTACCCCCAAGAACAACTTTTAATTAAGAAAGCAAACACCTCATAGGAACCCCACTCCCCCCCTTTCGGCTCGCTTACCTACCCGCTTACTTCGCAGTATACGCGGCTACTAACCTCCAAATAACCCAGAAATCATTCAAATCGCATGCCGGTTCAGATTCGTAGACTCTCGTAACTTAGGAACTACTAAGAGCCTCAATATCTTTACTCAAGAGCTTGTGTTTTGGATTATGTACGGAAATACCTGGCTAGATAACGAACTAATAGCTTCACCTACTACTACACAAAGACAAACCTTGAAAAGGACCTGAAGAACCTCACTTTCGTGGCATATCACCCAATGTATTATATGGTATATAACAAGGAACGAACGAAGAAGGAATTGGACAAGTATGCTTGGGATTCCGAAGGATATTAGGATAAGTTACGATAGAAAGAGGAGAACCCCTTAACTTTTTGAAGTAACGTACAGTTTTATACAAAGTAACCCGAAATGACGCCAGTGGGCGGTGAGTGAATAGCAAATAATTCAACACACCACTTATTTTAACATGTCCGTATAAAGTTTGCCCTTTTCTAGCATATCTGTACCCCTATTGCCCGATAAAAGCTTTAAAGCTCTCTAATTTAGGTTCTACAAGATTGAAGAATGACCCGTTTCATCCTATTCCTTCATACTATCTAGAGTGCAAGTGAGAGTTGGTTAACTTAAGACTTGTTGGCAGACTACCTAGATGAATATAGGTTTTTATTGGTATTCACTCCCTATAAATTGACTCACAGGGGACTCGGAGATAAGAAAATTAGTTCTACATTAGTACCTTGAGACTCAAACATTTCATTCTTCGTCACCCGAAGATCTGGTACCCTTCTTGACCATATCGTCAAGTTCTAAATAGCCTCATCGATGTTCGCAGTGCGGTGTTGTCAAAGATTGTAGCAGGTTTAGGTGGATTTGTTTGTGGTTCGGAAATTCCATCGTTAGTGCTAGGCCGTCGGGCGCACTCCAAAAGCGCATTTCAGGGTCCATTTTCGACGATACTTGGAAGTTAACAGCGTCCTATACTCCCGTTTCGCCTTCGTGCCTTCTGGCCTTGATCACATACAACGGTTTCGTTCGATCCGTCCCCAGAGCTTGTAACATATCCAAAATCGTGGCATAATGTGCCCCACCCCAGATTCAGTCGTTATACTGTTACCTCTTGGGGCAATATTCATGAGGTTGGGGGGAAATTTATGCGTACATGCTGGCATCCAACTTATCAGCTTCATACTGATGATCGCTGGCACACATCTACCTATTATTAGATTCTAATCTAGCCCTTCTCCCCAAGCGGTGATTTTTCACCACCACGTTATGACAGCAACCTGGTCCATGAGAGAAAAGAACCAATGAACGGGGGAGTTAATTGTTTGTTTGCTTTCGGTCGTCGAGAGATCTTCCAGGTTGCGTTGTTTCCTTTGGGCGGGAGGTGGAAGGTGGTGAGTGATGGGTGATAGGTGATGGGTAATGTACGACTTCTCATTTACATGTTTCGCAGACAATGCTACTTACGCTATTGAAACTACTCGACTAACTAAGAATCGTATGACGATATATTCATGCTCATTCATATTCAATCACAATCACACTCAAATATATGACCATGAAGATCAAGTTTCGCTTTCCTTTTGCCACTCCTTCCCCGTTGTTTGGATATGTACGCTGTTGGTGCCCAGAATACACGGGAAGGACATCGTATATATCTCTAATTATTAGATATATATTCGAATTAATGTTAAGAAAGATCTGGAAATCAGAACTGCTGTAACTGATTTCCCTCCTAGTTAATGTTAGTGTATTTATAAAATAGAACTGCTGAGTCTGAATAGCTTTAGTCGTTTCTTAGTGTTCAATCAAGTTTTCTATTCAACCTACTGTTATTTAGCTTGAACTCTGGCTCTAGCATTTGGCACTAAAAGTGACTAGAAAGGACAATAAGATATTTATTTAAGTCGGGTTAGGTTACTTCTTCGAGCTCCCAACTCGAGCCTCACCCCCACCCCCTTCCCGCGCGCCCTAGAAGGGACTTATCTACGTTCTTAGCGACTAGTTTCATAGCCGTTCTTCCCCTGCCGCCCCCCGACTTGAGATAACCCAAGTAGGTACTTAGTAATTAACAAATATTCAAGATAACACAAGGACACAGAACCCCCCTGTCGCAAGCAAGCGACATTGCACTCATTTAGGGCTGGATACATTACATTATTATATAAATATTATGGATGTTAATGATTTAATACTGGACAGTACTCATTAAGGGCTTCTTTAACCGACAGGATATAAATTTACATCTAAACTTTTATCTAGATATTATAGAGTACTTCTAAAAACTTATTAATTTAGATTTAGATTTCGTTAGAGGAATCATTAACGCTAGTACGATTATTATTATAGTATAAGTAATCTTAGCTTAACTACTTTACTATAGTATATTCTATAAGAGGCGCTAGTCCTATTCTAGGCCTATTAATATTAACGAATAGGCTATATATGTGACCGTGTGGAGTGAACCACTGCTTGCTGTGATGAATACTGAGTCAAACCGGAAACTGCTATATTGAACGAACAACTAAGTGAGAGAAGAAGAGAGTTCAAGAGGAACGAGAGCCTAAATACAGGATTCCAGTAGCACGCATGGGCCATGCTACACGTGATCCGCCCCCAGTTCCTCCAACTCCGTAACAATATATTAGAACTACTCTACTCGCTTATAGGGAGTATATCTCTCTATACTTACTATATATTTATACTATATCTTATCTTCTAGTATTTATATCTTAAGACTTTACTTCTATTCTATATACTTAGCTTATAGACCCACTATTTAAATAAAAACAGGGTACTATTATAATTTAGAATAAAGCTTAAGGGATAGAGAATAAAAAGCTAGTTAGAGGTTAAAGGAGGGGCGTTTTATTAGACGTCTCGAACTAAGTAGATCTCTTGTTAGAAGACGAGGACATAATATAGAATACAGAGAGAAGCTAACTAAGTGTAACGAATACTCAAACTGGCTAACTAAACTTGGCTGGGTGTTCGCTGGTTGGTATGCTATGATAAGAAGAAGACTATCGGGTTGTTCACTTGGAAGTGAACTCGTTACTTGTATCAAAGATGTCAAACTAATATGATAAGATTGATAACTAAGTTGAGCACGAAGCTCCTATCTAAAGGCAGAAGTGCCAGTCTTATATAGAACCTTCGTTCTCGTGGAGCCTACGGGGAGCCCAAGATCCTCAAGCTCCAACGCAAGCTCCTGCAAGCTCCAACGATCATGTGACACTGTCACGTGATACTAACTGAATGAAATCCCTGGATCGCTTAGCTAGCCCAAGCGTCCCTATTTGCTATAAGAGTACTGATAGTGCTTGACCTTTCAGGACGCCGCCTGGTCTTCTCTTATCACGTGAACACGTGATTCGTGACAGTACCCTACTAAAATCTACGGTTATCTAGCTTCTAGCATATACCTGTCAAGGAGTCAGATCAGGTGACCTGCGTTCATTCATGAAGCTATTCACAATTATGGATAAACCAGCACAGACCAGTGTCAACCGACTTAAAAGACAGATCTCCTTGAGAATCTCTTCTCTCCCTGTAATCAATCTATTCAACCAAGTCGCAATTGTCCTCGACTTGCACTTGTACCGTGACATTGATTACCGCACACATAANGGAGTCAGATCAGGTGACCTGCGTTCATTCATGAAGCTATTCACAATTATGGATAAACCAGCACAGACCAGTGTCAACCGACTTAAAAGACAGATCTCCTTGAGAATCTCTTCTCTCCCTGTAATCAATCTATTCAACCAAGTCGCAATTGTCCTCGACTTGCACTTGTACCGTGACATTGATTACCGCACACATAATCGCGATCTAACTTGTCCTCGACGTCGATCACGATTCCCACCACAACCTTACACCAACCACCGCTACAATGACCTCCGCCAACAGTACCTCGTTTATCAACACACCAGTAAACTCAGAAGCTCCTAGATTCAGATCGAGATCGCCAGTAGTAATGAATCGCCTTACGCAAACCTACCCTCTTTTAGACCACGCTATCAAAGGTGAAGAAAACTACCAAGAGACATGGAATTCACACCAACAACAACTTTTCCATGAGATCAATGCCCTCGCTGAAGCCCATGTCGACTCGGAAACAACTATTGAGGAACTCTGGAAGTCCCTTACAGACTCTTCCCACAAAGCCCAGGAATACGAAGCCCGATACGGCGAATTACTGAGCCAGAATCACGATCTTATAGAAGCGCACGCCCTTGAGAGAAAAGAAAAAGATACCATAATCAGCGCACTCAGTACTCGACCACCTAATGGAGGGTTACAAGCTACTTTACGATCGCCATTCCACCCAGACCCACTCGAATTCTCAGGAGAGGACCCAAAGGAACTCCCCTCATTCCTTCGGAAGCTCCAGTTGAAACTCAGAATGAATAACGACTGGTGGACCTCGGAACAACAACGAATGGGCTATGTTATTAGCCTACTCTCCTCAAAAGCATATAACCAGGTCGCACACGGTATCAACGATGATGGTACAATCTTACACCCGCATGTGAAAGCTATCACCGACATCCTTACAATAACATTCGGAGACCTCAACGCCAAAGCAAGCGCAGCAAAATGTGAGGGTACAGACGTGGAGGAAGCGATGTGGCCCGTGCCTTTGGAACTGTAAATAGCCTCAGATCTTACGATCACTTCCACTCTTTGTAGACAATTTAGTTCTTACGCATACAGTTGACCTTGTCGCTATCGCACCCTTACAGGTACCCTCACTTAGCCACTTACCAACGTTCTTAGCATGGTCTGCTGCGTAAAAAGGGCCCTGAAGAAACAGTGTTAGCCTATTCTGGAATTTTGGGGAATGCGAAGTAGGCAAGAGTCGTGGAAATGGAGCATACCATGTTCTTGTCCCCGATAAGAAATCCCCTCATGGTTAATCTCTTCATGACAACATGGGCCAAAGTCTTAACACCGTATTTCTCTGGGTCTGGCGTGTTATATCCAGATACCATTCCACAGCAAACGATTCTACCGAATTCGTTCATGGCAGCTAGTGAGGCCTCAAGCTGCTCACCGCCGACGTTTTCGTAATAGATGTCAAGTCCCTGAGGCGCCAGACGTTTTAAGGCATCTGCTGGCTTTTCAGTCTTGTAATTGAATCCACCATCGAAGTTCAATTCCTTGAGGATAAAATCAAGCTTTTCATCCGAGCCGACTGATCCAATAACGGTGAGACCCTCATGCTTTGCCAATTGTCCAACAATTTGGCCAACGGCCCTAGAAGCTGCTGAGATAAAGATCGTCTCACCCTTGACTGGCTTACCGATATCATAGAGGGAAGAGTACGCCGTCAGACCAGGCATGCCCAGAGCCCCGATATGGTGTATTGGGTCTAGGATGTACGGGTTTTCGATTTTTCTGACCAAAGTTTCGCAGGCCTCTTTTGAGACGGCAGAATATTCCTCAATGTTGAACAATCCTGCGAGCAGCTCGCCTGATTGGAACTTCTCGCAGTCTGACTTGATCACTTTCACAATCCCGCCGCTATACATTGGCTTATTGAATTCGAAGGCGGGGCTGTATGACTTCGTACTCGGCTGGCGCATTTTGCCTCTCAGGTATGGATCGTAGGAGGCATAGATATTTTTCGTGGTGATACCGCCCGCTGGCGGCGCTTGGTCGATATCAAACTCGCGTGTCTCAAGAGTCAAATCCTGCCATGGGACAGGATAGCCCCGTTGGGGCCTTTTTGATAATGATGCCCTTGTTCTGGACCATTTTGGCGAGAGACGGCAAGTTTCTTTAGTTTTCTTGGGTAAAGAGGTGAATGGATATGATTGTACAGAACAGTGAAATGTGAAGTAGAAGAAAAAAACGGCTACTTAGCACAGCAGACTGATCTTATGTATTTCTCTTGATGCAAAAAGCGGGATGCTATGACGCGGTTCCTGATTACCAAGAGGAGGAATCTCGACCTCACCAGAGTGGCCCCATCTGGCGCAGGTCCGAAGAATATAATGCACAGTTCTCATGGACCAGTAGAGTAGTAATTTACGTAGGAAGGATTAAAAGAGGAGATGGCGTGTAAGAGGGTTCGGGTGAGCGTCGAGGGCGGAGGCTGGTGGAGGGAAAGAGGAAGTTTGTATGGCAAAGCCTGGAGCCGAGGTCCATGATGCATCGGCTCTTCGCCACCAAAAAAAAAAGTGTTTCAGGGCGGTGACATTTTGCGGTACCACAACACCAAGATTGGACCCCGCTCGCCCGTATTTGGTAGCAAGCCCGTCGTCAATTGTAAATTAGGATTGGCTTGTCTCAACCGCCATGCGCAGAATCCACACCAAGGTCTGCAAAATTCAAAGTCGGAGCAAATTCCCTTTGGTTCGTTGAAACTGGACCACAGGTTTTGTGGCCTCGGGCTCTCTATGACACCTTTACCCTTTCCGTCTGACTCGTGTTTGAAGAAATCTCTTTCTCCCTTTGCTCTCGATCTTAGTGGCTTCTCGGCCTTGCGATAGGGTGTTTAAGGCGATCATGCAGAGCAACTACAGGAATTGTCACGTACAATTATCAACCGGGAAAGGCTACTAGGCGGGTTGCATTCAAGCCCATGTATGCTCGGGTACCTAAGCGAAGCTGCTGAAGAATTCCAAATCTCTATTCATGCCTATCCATAATTTGACATTCCAGGTGCCAATGAAAAGTTGATGTATACTTCTTGTCCTTGATCGACCATCTCTGAGTTTCAATAAAATCCCTACGTCGTCGCTTAAGCTCCAAAGGAATACGAATATTCAAGTTTAGTATATAGGTATTAGATGTGCTCTTTCCGATAGTGCATTGCTAGCATGCTGCCATATCAGAAGGTTTTCTGTCCAGGATCCTTTTTTTTCAAGGATGAGTTTCTAGGGCTCGAGAATAATTCCATGCTCTCTCTACAAGAGCTCAATTGAATCTCGGGTTCAATTCCAACATATGAGAATAATTATTGTAACCACTTTTGATAATCCGTTTATTACTGCGGCTCAGTTCCATCCATTTCCAAAGTCGCTTACTATCGCAAGCCGTCTGGGTATTGTTGCGGGGCCGCAGGCATTTTAACCCCGATTTGTCACCTAAGAATGGCACTGTAAAGTCCGATGTCATCGGCCCTTGCAATGTGGCCAGCCAGCCTCCACAGCGTCGTATTATAGCTGTACTCGTAATCATTAACACATCTCTCATGCCATCCAAATACGGCCTACCACAAGCCACATTTTGCGCCCAAATCGCGGCCCGGTCTTGAACCTCAGTAATTGGATACGTTTCCCATTTGAGAAGCTCAACCCTAAAATCATTGGCTGGACCCCGTTTGTCGGCGCAGCTCATGACATCCATTTCTGGCATTAGATAAGCAGTTTTATGCTCTTTCCTTCTTCTTTCTGATTGTTTACAGTAAGATCTACCGACAAAGGATTTATGACTTACCATCGTTTATCATTACTCGAGTATAGTGCTCAGTTGACTACTTTCAATATTTACAATGTCCTTTTCAATGGACACCACAACTCGAAAATCCGATGGAGATATGATCTGACAAGTGGTGTAAGGGTCTCGCCAGATATCATACTCGTGGCGTAGCTGGACTGGGCCGTGTTTACCCATTCTCTTTCCAATGAAGACTGGGTGTTGACGGCCTTCAAGTTGCTCGCATTCCAACATTCCTCATCTGCCTGGCCAATAATGCCATCAAAGCATCCCACGCGTGGCTTGTTGCTCTTCTGTTATGAGGATTGGATTGTCGCATGCTACCTCCAGGACTTGTAGCTTATAAGTGAGCCGGTCACCAGGTTTTGCTCTCTCGCATAATTCACTTTACGTCTTTATTCAACAAACCAATTTACCATTTTGTCTATTGCCAGTTCGCGTTTTCTATAGTCCTACCAAGTCTCTATAATCGTTTACTCCACACGATAGATCTGAACTTCGAGCTTGTAGGTTCTGAGCTAGCTAGCGCTGCCACCTCTGCCATCCATTTCGAGCATAAGAACAAGCTCCCACATCACCGTTCAATTTCCTCCTTTCAACCTCAAGGGTCTTCCACTCTGCATGTGGTCAAGAACATAGACAAGTCCTGTATCACCGACCAGCATGAGGGGACTCCCAACATTTTCACACAGCGATGGAAAGTACAAAAAGAAAGAACGAAGAACAATATACTCGAGGATACTGAGTTGGTTTCGATATCCGTCAACGAACATCCCATCGCCAAAATTTCGTGACGAGAAAGAAACGAAATACCATCACTCGCCGACTCATGCAAGTGGTTCTTTTATGAAGACTGCGACAACACCAGCGATGATAGCACCAATGGAAGACCAAGCGAAGCGTCAAAGAGACAACGAAATACAACCACAGTTGGAGGAAGGTGCTTATAAGATTCCTTCGATAACATGAATTGAGTTGGAATCTATGCTAGGCTAGAGCTGGTATGGAACTGGAGTTGGAGTTGAAGTGGTCGAATTAGCACTGCAATCCTACGAGGCAAGTATCAGTCGTCGGTCGCGCCGAAGTCACAACGGCATGATGTGGTAGAATCACAGGAGTCATGGAGTAAACATTGAGGGTTGTTTTGCTACAAGGATACCATGTCGTTGACGTTTTTGGGAGGCAAGAGGATTACTTTTTCTCCTTTTGTTTGGTAGAAAGTGCCGGTTGGATCAAGTTGAGGAGGAAACCTGTTTGCTATTAACCCGTCGCTCCAACTCCATCAATCCCTCATCGCGAATCCCACTGGATGGAACCTTTCGGAGTTTGTCGGATGGAGGAACAGCATCAGCCAACCATTTGAGGAATCCGGGACCATGAAGCCTCAAAGATCGCCACACCTCACTGGTATATATGTATTTCCATGAATACCAATGGATATCTCATCGCAAATGCGTCATTGGGTTCTTGGTTACAATTTCTGTCCAATTCGTAACACAGAAGCGGTGGGTAAAAACGTGCCCTGCCGATTTGCAGAGTCGCAGTGTCACCACGAGCAAGGAAGGTTACTGCACCTTGCTGTAAGCGCGATACGTTCCGGAGAAAGCTGCATCTTTGTGTTCCGATGAGGTGCGAACCCGACGATGTTTATTCGTAGTTTGTAGAGCCCCACTGGTGCCACGTGAATGCTTTGGAAAATTCATTGCTTGCATTCTAGCTCCTTACTAATATTCGATGGGCGTCGTATTAATACTTGGAATGTTTCCCGTATGGCTTACAATGTCTTGTGAGGGAGACGCTCTCATGTGACCTTGAAGTTCCTACTTTGAATTGTTGAGTATTCTTTAATCATGACCGATTTGTTAACCTTCCCAATTCTGTTTGCCTGACTTCATTCTTCGTTGTTTGCATCCAACCCGTTCATGTACAACGCGCATCGCATGCTGTATTGTACGACCGGTCAGATCCATATTCGGCGTCCTTTTTTGAATCCTGCCTTGTATATATCGTCCGATCAGTTTCGGAGGCTGTGACGATGTCGTAGGCTGCGAGATCTCCCCGCCTCGGCTATTTGCCTCTCGATACATCATACGAGATCCTCTGCATCATTATCATAAAGCGTCGATATACCCAGCGCCTCTGTAGTCCGAGAACCATCATCCGATTCTGCGCAGACCCAATACCTTTCGTCCATAACAATTCTCATCTCATGATTTACTTTCAGGTCGCCGAATACGTCTGGGCGACCTTTTTTTATATTAATTTCTTTTCGTCCGAAGAGTCCAAACGCACACTCAACCCTTTCTTTTTTTAGGTGCAGAAGAACCTTCTCAGCAGGTTTCGCTGCACACAGACGTTGAGTACAACCTCGCTTTTCTTTTAGATTCCGGATCACGAGCTTCAACTCTGCATCGGCCCGTCTTCTGTGTTTCCATAAGCCCCCATGGATAAGTCTTTACGGGCATTCGTTCTGTGTCCAACACCGGGTTCGGTTCATTCCGCCAATACTATGTATCTATTGCTGGTCTGAATGTCCGATAGGTCATTTCTCGGTACATCTGCTGTTGTGGCCATCTAGTCCTCAGCACTAGCCATGCTTTATCCCTACCTGTAGAGCTGATGATTTCCGATGGCTGAGTTCCTTTCTACAATTTGCGTAAAATGTGGAGATTTTTCTTCATCCTTTTTGTGGTGACCTCTGGTCTCAAGGCATCGTGAAACTTCCAATATTGGGTCTCTTCTCGCTCCCCTCTCAAAGCAAGCAACCGCCACGCACCCTGTCAACCACGAGCTTTATGTACGAGCCCTACAATCTTCGTTGTATCTATGTTTCGATCCCATTTAGACACCTTCTTGGTGACATGGTATATCGCAGGGCTTCAGTTTCTACCTCTTATTGGACCTTTTTGCGCACACTTCAACTCATATTTAATGTTATGTCCTACGAAATCATTTGGCGAGAACTTTTGAAGTCTTTCTCCTCGCTCGCCTCCTATATTCTCCATAGCAAAGTCAGCCAAGTTTGTTATCGAAGCGACTTCAAAAGTATATTGTAGTCACTCAATTTACCCCATGGGCGACTTCAAAAATGTCTATTCAGAGAACCGGCTTGAAGATCAAGCAGTTTCTGTCTCTCAACCGGAAACATCATGCCTTTGATGATTCTGTGGACAATATTGATAGCATATCGTTCGTGGAGCCAAAGCAGTCTACCAACACCCCGCACAGGCTATCATGGCGACTTTCTCAAAAAAGTCAGGAAACTTCATCATCAACACCTCGACGAACCAGCAGTAGTACCACAATAAAAAGTTACCAACTACCCTCTGCCACTGAGTCTCCTTATTCGTCACAAAGCTCTTTGTGTAGTTGTAACTGCGAAACCAATCAAGAGTCGATTGAATATTCTTTGTTTAGGACTGCGCCTCTTCCGAACCCATTCGAAATTCTTTATCAACCGCCACTTTCCCCATCGAGAGCTACCGGCGATGCACAAACATGGAAACTCATTTTTCCAGAATCCTTATCACGATCAAGATCATCCAGCTTCTCGAGATATGGCGAAACCACTTCTTCGGGGTCAACTATAAGAGTATCGACCTTTGAAACGATCGAAAATCACGGCATGGGACGAGAAGTTAAAGGGAAACCTTCGAGACAGAGCGTAACGCATAGCGAAGACATGGAGCGGGACAATATATCAGCCGATGTTGATCGATTGATCAAGGACACAGATGAGGCCTTCCAGGCGGTTGGGTCAGCACTTGCAAGTGCCAAAGCCTCTACAAGAGGTTGGTATGGCGAGTCTATTGCAAACACGCGACATGAAACCAGGTCCAATCCAATTGCAACTCCCCCGAAGCAATTCTCTCCTAGTCCCCGGGGTGTTTCAAAAAAGACTTCTCGATCACAATTGCTACCACTCTCTCCACGACCGATGCCAGTAGCACTTTCAGCAAAATGGAAGAATTCAGTTGTATCCAAGAAAAAGAAAAGCACTGGCGTATTTAGTCGCGCTCTTCGACGAGGTCAACCTGTTCGCTTGAATGCACCACCAAGATGGAATATTTCAGACGTGACGACGAACGTTGTAGACGTATTCAGCGGAAAGCTTTTTCGGACAACAGAGGTTGACGAGATGCTAACTCCGGGTCGGTTGCAACAAATTCGTCAAGACATGGAGTTAGAGATCCAACCAAAGAACTCTTTTGATTCAGGTCTTAGTATCGAAACAGTAGGAAGTGATACACCAACCTCGCCGTTCCACCTGGAAAGTCTTTCATCAAGAATTGATGCCGCGAATTCTTTCACCCGTTCAAGGCCTGCTCCAGTTCCCCCCCTGCCACTTCTTCCTCTTCCACCACTGCCAACACATGATAAAACATCTCTAGAAAATCAGCCACGGGTTCATTTCTCGGATCCAGGAAGGATAGATGATAGAATGATGATTGCAGACTTACAGTTCCCGTCTCCCCCATCACCCCCCTCGGGATCCCTTAAAAGCCACCAATTCATAAACGAGCCCCCAATACTACCTAAGATACCAGAAGTATCACCCATTAATCTCTCAACAGCACCTGTCAGAGAAACACTCTCATCCCCGCTGCAAACAATACACTCTAGCCCATCCTCCGAATCTGACGAAGATGATACTATCAAATTACCGAGTACCCCGTATACCACCACGTCCCCCCTTTTCCAGCACGGGCCTATCCTTTTTTCGCGCGCTCTTCTAGCAGAACGCCAGCGCGAAGCACTGCTGGAAGCAAAATACGATTCCTTGAACACATTTGAAGACGTTGATTGGACAGCATTCCAAATGGCCATTCAAGGAACTATGGATCTCCCAATCGAGGATCCAACCATTACAGAAGGAAACGAATCGAATGAGCCCTTCATCTCAGAGGATGAGGAAGATTATTACTCTTGGTGGTTAGATTTTCATCTCGGTCCTATTGGGGGGATGGGTACGAGGGCCTCCTCGCCGTGGGGCGGAAGTGCAAGCAGCGGGATTTTAGAGCTAGAAGCTGATCTCACATTCGGTGAAGAACAGGGGGATGCGAGGTTACTTGACATTGATATGCTGGCTTTTCCATCTCCTTTGCTTTCATCACCCAAGAGAATAAGTACACCACCACCGCCGAAGCGAAAATCCACCCCACCTCCCCCGGTACCTCCTCGGTTTTGCTCGGCTAGAGTCAGAACCAAACCGAGACCATTCAGTTTCCAACTTTCTTCTGCCGGATCGGAAGAACTCTCTGTCTTGGACCTTAGGAGTCGCAGAGATCAAAATGTTCCTGCGCGTTCTCTCGAGCATACGATTGCGAGACCGATGATTGAGCCAGATACGATAACGTTTGTACCTAGACCTTTAGATACTCCGGCTAGTATGGCGAGCTTTCCGATGAGTCCTATGCCCCAACTTACTGGACATGGCGAGGGTGAAGTGGTTATGGGAAGTAATTTACATCATGATCTGGGGGACTTTTTGAGTTGGGAAAGTCAGTTTGTGCCATTCGGGGAGGAGGATAATTTGGTTGAGGGAGTGGAGGAGGAGGATTTATACAGTGCTTAGTATCAGGGGGGGAGAATGCGCGTATATTATGGGATTGTGGAATCGGCGAATGTACTTTGGATGGTGGAAAGGACTTGTTGTCGCTGTGCAATGAAGACAGATGCTAGATCTGGGAATGTTGTTAGATGTGGATGTGCGTAATGTCTGTATACTTTTATGGGCTTCTCCACCAAGGGGGACACTTGAAACAGCAAGGCTGGATACATAGGAGCGGCAAAAAGAGAGCCAGGACGACTGACTCTTTCGCATTCTCCCATTCTGGTAAGGGAACTTCTTAACTAGAAAACGATAAATTCACTTCGTTCATAGGCTTGTGTATATTTTATTCAATTCCTTTATTTCTAAAGAATATACTATGAAAACGGATACTAAAACGCACATAGGTTTCGGTCCGCAAGGGTGTATACTGTCATCATCTCTTCACGGAAACCGTGTGTTACTCACGTACCTGAAGTACTATCACGTGTTGTACCAAATAGAAAATGTCGACTCTAGTTATGTAACTGTGTACAGTCATATAAACAATAAAAAAGATATTAACGAAACCGCCGGGTGGGATGGACTTAAAGTTGTGTCCAAGGGGTACTTAATTTTGTAATACTATCACGCTAAATATGTGGTATCCACGTGGAATATTCCCCACCATTTTAAAAGTCGGAAACGCATTCACCCCCTATTTACCTCGCGTAGCGCTTTGACCATGACCTAACGTAGGCTGCAAATAAGCTATGGAAAACTCCTCCTTCATTTGCACCAGATCATTGCTATAACCGCGGAGGCTTCCATCTTTAGTGACCACGTGGGCCCTTTGCAACATTTACATATTTAACTGTACATTATTCACCAATATACGTGAACTTGACCAAAGCTGGAGTTTGCAGACTGTCTGTACGCTCAGGCAGTCAGTCAACTTGGTATAACTACTGACTGACTCTTGAAAAAATAACAGAAAAGACCACCTTAAAAGAAGAGAAACAACAAACGACACTCACGCTCGCTGCCCACCCGCTGCCTAATTCTTGAAGGAACCATGGCTCCGAATTCTTCAGCTTCTACTGGAGCTACCATTGCAGAGTATGACAGTCTCAACGATGTTTCATCGGCCTCTAACCACTTTACCCTTAAACTTGAAACCGCTCTTTCCCTTCTGAAAATTATCTCTCCACAAAAATTCGAGCAAATCATCGAGAAGTTCAGCGAAAAAAACCGCAAGATCCAACACGAAAAGCACGGATTCGCTGAAAAGATCGACAAGATAGAACCGGGACAGATGAGACAGTGGGTGGAAGAACTAACCAAGTCACACTTTGACGAAGCAGAGTCCGCTATACGTCAAGAGCAACAGAAGGACGTTGAGAGAGTACTTGTTAATGTTTTCGAGCATTTACGAACAGCGGAGGGTAATTGCACTATTGAGAAGTCATCAGGAAATTTTGTTCGCAAGTGTGGTGGTATTTTCCTCCTCTGTTGCAGCGCTGCGCTGTTATTGAATCAAGGTTATATGTTCATCAATGAACGTAGCGAAATGGGAGTAAGTTTCCGTTCGAAAGATTCCACAAAATAATTATATTTCGAAGCTGATACATGATTTACAGACCGCGAATCGCGGCGATATACACAATGTCAAGCACACTGACCTCGAAGACCATCCAGAGCAATCTTTCGCAACCAAACCAATATTACCACTAAAGGAGTTCCATCTCTGCGATCTTCAAAAGCATGGCAAGCAAAATGGCCTCACAGACCATCAAGGTTCGGCATTTGTAATTCCATTCCATTGCAAGACCCCCCTATGGAATATTCCATGCCAAATAGTATAAGTGTTGAAATATTCCATTCCAAAGGGTGGAATATTTGGAATTCTAATTGGAATTCTTCACGTGACCCGTAAAAAAGTAGTTCCGGTCCGAGCGACCAATAGGAAGCCTAGCCTTAGCCTTAGCACCACAGTAATATTTGAGAATCGTACAGTATCTACACTATCAACATTGATGTCGCCCCCATATATCTTACCAGGACGCGCAACAAATACTCGGATATGCGCCTCTGGCGGCACACGTACTTCCAGACTACTAGTACAACTCTAAACCCACTCACATTCACCCTCAAATACGCGCATTTGCGCCTCCTATACTAGCGGCACACGTACTCCTAGACTGCTAGTACAGGCATTCACCTTAATTATATCTAGGAGACGACGATAATTAATAAAGCGTACGGAGGTAAAAATCACAATTTCAGTCCTCACTTTATAACAAATAGAGTTCTCTTATTGGTTGAATAGTAGTATATATATCCTTTGGACTTCCAAATTCCAAGGCCTTATCCTTTGGAATATTCCATTCCAAATTAGAGAGCCTTTGGAATATTCCACCTTGGAATGGAATCTCGGAATCCGTGGAATCGTATTCCAAATGCCGAACCTTGCAGACCATCGAGAACCATTTGTCGCAGCCCAACCTATCTTACCACCAAAGTTATTCCAACGTGAGTTGTTTCTCCCTTCGAAGAGTTTGTACTCTCAAAACTGTTCACTGATATCGATGGTCCCATTCCCAGATATGCGACTCGATTCCACAGATAAAGCTATGTATGATGCCGCCACCCAGTAATACACTCGCAAGCTTCTCAAGATATCGAAACGAGCGGGCTTAGGCAAAAAAAGGTGTTGTCTGCTAAAGAAAGCGGTGGTTGGTGTTATACTTGGGCGGGAACGTGGAGTAATACTGGGACTTTATAGTACGGGAAGGATATCAGGCGAGTCATAAACACGGACATACATTATTACTTCCTAGAAATCCAATAGCTAGATGACTCCTTATTTTGCCTTTGTATTCCCATATCCATATTTTGTTTTATGGACTATGATAGTGAACGGAATTGAGAGCTTTCACCCTCAGAAAGGAGGGGGTTTGAAGATTCCGGATGGATACGAAAACATCAGGTGTGCCAGGTATAATACGTTACCCGTCTGATACTGACTGGCACAATTATTCGTGCCAGATGTAATCGGACACTCTTAAGACAGCTCTAAGTACTTTTATCGGTTAGATTATGTACCTAGAAGTAACTTTTCGTGCCTTCCGCGAGATTTTATTCTATATATTAAGCCCTCCACCTCCTTCACCTGGCTTCTGTTGAGCCCCTAACTACCTGTAAGTGGAGGATTATTCCTACCTCCCTAACCCCATGTCCCTACCTGTAACCACGCAGTCTTTCGTGTCTATCATACTGCCCTGTAAGTCTCTACTTCTTCCCTTATGCCCCCATACCATACTATCTATCTACCTGGGTAAGTATGAAATTCTTACTATAGAGATATATAGATAGCTGTGGAATGTAGAAATGAAACATATAGAAGCCACGGGTTAGACTCTTCTAAGCTTTAGCTAGGGGATAAAAGATTAGTATTAAGAGCCTGACTTCAAAATGAGACTCTCATAGGATTCGTTTCCAAGCAGAGAATGATAACAGAAAAGTTAGGAAGTTTTTGATTTTGCTAGTCGGCTAATTTTGCAAATAAGAACAAAGTTTTCCCACACCTTTTCCTTCCGGCTTTGAAAGAATAAGAGTTATGGTACTGTAAGCTCTTATTTGACCAAAAGATTATATCGAACCTCCCAACAGCAGTAAAACTTCAGATAATACAGTACTTCCTAATCAGACTCCTCTTCCAGTGTAGCTGGTGCAGGTGCGTAACTAATCGTTTCGCCCTTTTTGTACGGGGGTCTATGAGAACTTGATTCAGCACAAGCATAGAGCCAAGCCACGCCAGTAAACAAAGCGACTGAGGCACACAACAGAATCGTCTACCCACTCACCTTACCAAATTCTTTGCCGTCACAATGCTGGCAGCTCCCAGTGCGTAAGCCCCCAGTAAATTGCTCCAACCGACTTCCCCAATACCCCGTTGACCGACAGCCAGAGCAATCAGGTCGTAGACTAAGCATCCTCCAAAGATCCAGTCACTTCCACTTGCCAAAGCACCGAATCCAAGACCGGTGAGTATTTTCACTGCGGTGCTTGGACCTTGATGGTTGAAATACGCAACTGAGCCGTTATGGAGGAAGTCGAGGACACCAATGCCAGCAAATGTTTTGGAAACAATGTGAGTCAAGACTGACGAGGTTGAATGTGTATTCATTGATGGTTGTTTGATAGCGATGAAATACAGTTGTGTAAATGAATTTATCAGGACAAACACATTTGCTACTTTGAGTGCCGAGTTATTCCAGAATATCATCCAGGCTGTAGCGTCAGATTAGTTTGGATTCTGAGCATCAAATAAATCATAACTAACTTGCGATACACAAATTTCCTACTGTATAGTAATGGACGAATTTTACCATGGTCTCAACCTCTCTCTTGGTCTCCTCGCTCTTTTTGGGGTCGAGTTTGTAAAGTCTATATAACCATGCCAATTGGAACAACTGTTGCGGGAAGAAAAATCCAGCGATGAAATATGGTTGTGGCGACCAGAATGATAGATTCGCATCGTGAACATCTTTCATATTTGGGGTCGCAAGCATACCATATTGTTGGGCAGCGAAGTCAATGGCGAACGATAGTGGTGCGACCCAACGAGCTGTAGAGTGAGGGATACCCATTGTGAATTTGGTGTGATTTGATCTGATTTTGAATTGATATTCTGGTCTCTTTAAAGTTTTTGAATGCTAATTGGGCCGAAGGAACTTAAGTGAAAAAAGAAGATTTTCCGAGTTATTGGGTTGTTTTGATGAGTTCAATCGTGGCTGAAAAAGTGATGATGTCAATACATTCCCTCGGAAACTGGGTTCCTCCGATCCGTAAAAACTATAAACACACATCTGCATTTCTCCGAATTCTGGCAAGGAGGAGGATGGTTCGAGTATTAGATGATTGATATTTCAGAATTTCTAATTTCTATGTTTGAAGTAAGTTTGCGTTTATTACATCATTAGCTTCATCTACCTCTTGTCATTGGGAGTAGTCATCTACATAGCATCAAGTCCTCGTGGTTGCTCTCTACTTCTCCCTTCCTAGATTGTCCAGCTACAGTGCCGCGCTGCTACTCTTCCCTGACATGGAGTCTTTCCCTCACAACGAACCACTTCCCAATCTTCCCTTCTTCGTTGGCCCTGTAGCTGCAGTGATATCAGACGCCTCGGAACCCGTCGGGTTAGAAGGTGGATCTTTGACCAGGAGATGTCGAAGCCGCGACGAATGGCTCGTGGTAGGAGTAGATGGCGCGGAATCATAGCGAGGGGAGCAGGCGATCAAACCGACGCCGATCTGGATGGCTGGGCAGTTTGAGAAGAGGAATGAGGTACGAGTACGTTCATTTTCATAATTTTCTTCCCATCTCAATCGATCCCTATTGCGAATCTACCTTGAACGAACTTCATGCCACTCGTTATGAAAGATGAAATTGGACTAGAGGTCACCTCCACTGCATATCAATAGAGGACGGTCACGTGATGATCACGATTCATTGGATGATTCTAAAGGTGTAGGTGGGATGAATCGTGGCTTTCATTCCAAGACGCCAAATTGAAGAAGTTGAAGCAAAAGGGAGACGCTTTCTATTAATACATAAATCGTCACAATACATCACATCCTTGGTCGTAGCCTCGTTGCAGCCTCGGCGACGACTTTGGACCTTGGGCTTAACCCTAAGCCCTCGCCGCCTTCGCCGCCTTCTTCGCCGCCCTCTGCGTCTCCTTTTTCGCCGCCTTCGCCGCACTTGCCTTTGCAGCCGTGGCCTTCTGCCTCAACTCGGTGGCCCTCTCCTCCATGACCAGACTCCACTTATACGCACTCTCCTTTTGTGATTTGCTGCTCGCCAGATAGCTCTCATAGGCTTGTATCTCTCTGATCTCGGCCTCGCCCGCCTTCTGGTCCTTCTTCTCGGCCTTGGCCTGCTTACGGGCCACCCCACGACTCCCACCGCCGAGAAAGCCGGGCCAAACAATCCGACGGTTGAGAACCTCCGACGCGGCTCTCTCGCCGGCGTTCGCGTTCCGCGCTTCCACGGCAAACGCGGCGACCGGGCTGACTTGATCCAACAGACTTCGGGCTCGATGGACGCGACCGGGCCCCTCCTGCCATTGCAAGCCGAACTCGGACGGTTCACGGCCTTGGAGGGCGATGGCATTGGGTCTGCGTACACGTTAGAAGAGGAATCAAGGGAGAAAAGAAAACTGACTGAGTAGGTAGAGCCGCAGCTGCGGAGAAAGTAGCGCTAAGGATGAGGATCCGGATGGGGAGGGTGAGAAATTGCATAGTGGGAATTATTGGATGAAAACAGGGAGTCGCTTGATTTGGAAAAGACGGTACGGTACAGCTTGAAAGTAAGATTGGACAAGTGCTCACGACAAACAGATGTGTAAAAGAATGATAAAAGGAAAGAAGGATAAAATAAAAGACGGAACGAATGAATGAAGGAAAGGATGAGAGATGGAAAGAACAAAAATGGCAAAAGAAGGAAGATTATAAAGAACAACTCTATCGACATCTCAAGCAGTAATAGCTCCTTGGCATAGACAACTTGGCGTAGAGAACGTAATTTACAGAGAACGGCATAGAGAACTTGGTATAGAAAACTTGGCATGGAAAAGTCTATAAATATACAGTTATACGAGAGACGGTTTTAGAATAGCTACCTAAACAAGCTCCGCCCTAGTTTCTACTTGTTACCAGCCAATCAGAGACCTCTAAATACTCGATTTAAACTTTCATCGCGTATGATTTACCTCCAGGTTAGTGCATAAACTAAACCTTAATTTGAGAGTCTTAGCCTAAGACTCTTACCGGGTCGCTGATCCAGGGCCGAGGTGTGACGAAACTCAAACTATCTAACAAAAGTAATCGTTCCGAAGGTTGGTATGCAGATAAGAAGATCAGATGCGCCGGGTTGTTTACTCAGAGGTAAACTCGTCACTTGTACAAAGTCGTCAAAGTCAGAAGGTATTGATAACTAAGTAAACTAAGTTGAGCACGAAGCTCCTATCTAATGGCAGACGTGCCAGTCTTATATAGAACCTTCGTTCTCTCTACATCGCCTACATTACCTGTCGATGTAGTCGACCTCCTATCGCTAACATCGACTGTCGATACAGGCGATGCGATTGATCACGTGACTACATACACGAGAAATCCTTGGATCGCTTAGCTAGTCTAAGCATCCCTATTTGCTATAAGAAACCTGGATGTGCCTGTTGAGGGTTGCGCCTCTTTATTATGACAAGTATCATGTGAGCACGTGATTCGTGACAAGAGGGAGTAATCGGTTAATCGAGTTAAGGTTATGTAAATAAGGAGGCTAGTTCTTACTTGAATCAATCTCCTATTCAAGGGACTAGGCCGCGGAATATTAGATTATACTTGAATCTGTAGCGTACCCCAGAATAGACAAAACTTAGTAAAATTCCATTCCCTTATCAAATCAGTAAAGCTAATTTACTATTTCCCAAGTAGTATTTTCTTAATATCTAATATATAAGCTTAGCTTTATACTGCTACTCAATACTTCGTTTTAGGCGAAACAGATGTAATATTTCAAGAGGCTTTACCCTGTTCCACGCCTTAGCTACTTTTAAAAGCCTAAATTTATTTCGCCTAGGATGAAGTGTAAGTCGGCATCTGTAGAGAGTTTAGAACTGTTGAACCGTGGAAACCACTCATTTCATTATTTATACATGTATTTCATTATTTGCACTGTTTCCGCATTGGGATACTACTCCACTCTTTTTAACCCTATTCTCATATATATACTCTGTACAATAACTGCTTTACAATTCAATCGATTCTACATGACCTACTTGACCCCATACCTTGGAAATCCAACAAGAACTCCAATAAGAATGGTAGACCTTGAATGTATAGTCCGAGCCAAACAGGCTGTAACTTTCCTCGAAGTATAATGAAGATGATATCATATCTCTGAGTTCAAAGACTCGTATGCAACCTTTAATTAACAGTATCACGGCCCGGCGTGGCCGAATGAATCGCAATATCTATAATACGATCAACTTTGGCTTAAGTGCATTCTCGCCTATACATTGTGTTAACAGCCCCAACTATGCTATTACGATCAAGTCTTCAGGTAAGTTCTAGAGTCTGGAGAAGAGCGCCACTACATTAGTAGTAGCGACATCGTAATTCAAGGGTTAACCTCTACCATAGAAAGCATGAGCACCGATATCAGACTAACGGCTACGCGCATGATATTTGTCCTATACTGTTTCAAGGATAGAATATAAGGTTGGATAGCTAGCGAATATGAATCATATTTAATACTTATGTCTAGAAAAGTCAGTGACTAAATGACTTACGTTATCTAGGCAAGGGTCTATTATATTACTCGCTTTACTACGGTCCACTTGTTAGCTTCAGAGTCAGAATCTGGTCTAGACCGAGGATCCATGTACCTAATGTAACCTTGTTCTGTTTATGTTTCTAGGATACTTGGTCCTAGGCGAAATAAATGCAACTTCGTCAGGGGCTTTTACCTTGGTTCTTCGCGTTAGCTACTCAAGAAAACCTACATTTATTTCGCATGGGACGAAGCCGGTAATACGTCGAATTTGTGTTATTTCGAAACAAATGGAGTTTTATATACTGGTTTATCACCAAACTTTGTATTACATTTAGCCAGATACCCATGTTCTCCGTTAGATTGTCAGCACCTAACAGCCGCCTACAACTATAGTAAGATATCTCTGTTCTTGAAATCAATCAACTTCGTTCTCTTACACACATCTACTCTTCAAGCTACATTTAATCCTCAACTACACTGCCCGATAGTTATAAAATATTCAAAATCTCAGCTCTCCTCCATCATGCAAATCACAACCATTCTTATAACAACGGTGGCCTATCTAGCCACAACGGCTTCGGCAGTTTTCACCGCGGATGTCGGATGGCCTGGCATACCTGCTACTCAACCGTGTACTCACAATACCTACTGCGGTACGCAGAGTCAATCAGAAGTATTCTATGTCGGTCGAAACGACTGTGTATATGTCCTTAATAAGTTCAAAGTCGGAGTCGATCCGCACAACTATCAATGTACATACCAAGGAGCAAGTGGTTATGTCTGGTGCTGTAAATAGCTTGTCCTCTATTGTTAAGCAGCTGTCGGTACAGAGGGAGTTGGTGGGTATATGACGAGAGGAGCGTACTAGGGGAGGGCGAGGTTAAGGAGCCTGAGCAAAAACTCCATTGGAAGAATAGGAAAAGAAAGGTCTATGCATATAAGCTTCCCATTTCTGAGATATTCACCGAAACACGCAATTGGGAGTCTGAAGTACTTAATGCACAAACAAGGTTGCTAATGGTTCAAAATTGCACACTTCAATTTCTCGGTCCAAACCGAACCACTGGGATGCGTTACTTTCCGTGTTCATAAATATGACAATTAAATATCTCGCTACTTAGGAACAATTCTTCTGTGTGCTGACAGACCTCGGCAATCTGAGAATTGGGTGTCATCCTTGGGACTTCTCAATTGTGAGAAAGTCACTAAGGGTTCACGGGCAATGTTTTCACCTTTACAACGACTCATAATGCTATTCTCTGCAGCATACCACACAGCTCAGACCTTCTTAAGGTCCTCCTATCCTCATACAGTGGGTGGAGTGGTATCCCTTCTTCTCTTTTCGCTCGCCTGGCGAGTGGCAGCTGAAGATTCAGGTTACAAATCCCCCATTGTGCTTTCTAGAACCGGCGGCTTTACCATCGGCGGCAATACTATCAGCAATCCCAATGGATCAGACATGACTCTATCCTGCGATCATGGCTACATTGAATACTTCATACCTCAGACTGCAAGGGAAACAAGCCTTATAATGTGGCATAGCTCGAGTACACAAGTTTGGCAAAACAGATGGGACGGCGGTAGGTTCTTCTGCAGATTTTCTTTTCCCTGAATGGGCCATGTCCTCACAATTTCTCCAAATATCTTGTCCAGGGAGTCAATTCTAAGTTCTTTGTAGGCGAGGGTTATAAAGACATGTTTCTTCGGCGTAATTATCCGGTCTACCTATGGGATGGACCCAGAGTAGGCAGAGCTAACTGGGGTTGTGTGCGTATCAATTATGTCCCTCAATATGTCGATGAGAAAAATTTCAAGAGTTGGAATTTTGGCCCTCAGTACAAAGATTGGTGGCCAGGTGTGCAATTTCCTACGGAAGACGAAGAAGCCTGGAATGATGCAACTCGTTCTCGATATGACGAGTTTGATACAGTCGAAAATGTTGAACTCCAGTCCGATGTAGCGGCATTTGCAGCGGACTCAGGCAAGTTAGGAGATAATATCGTTTATCTCACAAACTCAGCCGGCGGACTTCGCGCACAATTGACAGCTATCAAGAGTAGCTCTGACAACATCAAAGGAATGGTCACTTATGAAAGTATTGGTTACGTTTTCCCTGATAACGTCGATGTTGTTCCTGGCACCAGCGGTTTTGGACCTTTCGTCGTACCTGTCGAGGATTTCAAAAAACTTGCCAGGTTGACAGCAATTCAGTTCGTATGGGGAGATAATAGACCGAGCAACAACACATCAGTATCCCAATCACGATATGTTGCTGAGCTCATCAATTCATATGGTGGAAATGCTGAAGTTCTCATGCTTGGAGATGCAGGACTCAAAGGAAGCACACACATACCATTCGCCGATATGGATAATGAGCAAGTTGCTTGTCTTCTGGACAAATTCTTGGAGAAGAATGACCTAGATGGTTATGTGAAGAATGGCAAGACTAGACGGGGACAAGTAAAACAAGGGAATATCTAGATAAGGAAAATCAAGACGACATCCTCTGAGAAGTTGTTTCAAACTACCTTCTCGATTCACCTAACGTTCAGCGCATGCTAGGAAATGATATTGATCATCCTCGCTTGCAACAATGTTGCCAAGACACCCGAACACGAACACGAATACTGTGCCACCTTCAGTATTCTGCACCCGAAGATGTGCCGGTACCCGAACTCGACCTCTAGTCTGTACTCGATAGGAAGAATACTCAGCTTCGGAGCTGTCCTCTTTGAGCTACTTGCATGAATTATATGAATGGGATAGGTGTACTGGTAGCCCTACGTACATGAAAATCCTAATTTCCGCTCCATATGTTCTGCGGCTCTGTTTCGTATTCGGCTTTTTCAACTAGAACTGCGTTGGACAGTTATCTAATTCCATATTTATATAAACCTCTTCACTTCATAGTATTTTGTACTTCCAACTACAATCAACTCAATATTCCTTGTGCAAAATTGTCTACTACATCTTTTGAGAGCATTCCATCAGCGAGCTTGGCCGACTACCACACCCAATATCTTTTTATACTTTACCTGGAATTCTAACGGCAGAAATGGCTCCAGGACGTCTCAAAAAAGAGGAGATTGCCCGCGATAAAGATTTCTCGAAGGTCATGCATGGCGTTTCAACAGATAAATCCAACGCTTTCATGTCTATGATGAGCAAAGACAGTGAAGCCCACGAGTTGCTCACGAAAGACTACCTTAGCCACTGGGACAATGGTGGAAAGGGAATCGAGGACACAGAGGAAGCCAAAGAAAAGAGAAACGAGAACTGTACGTAAAGCTTTAAACCGTTGAGTATGCACACTGACTTTGAACAGATATGTCTGTTGTAAACAACTACTACGACCTTGCAACAGATCTTTACGAAGAAGGCTGGGGTCAATCATTTCATTTCGCTCGCTTCGGTCATGGCGAGGCCTTCGCGCCAGCTCTGGCTCGCCACGAGCACTTCCTAGCACACATGATCAACATCAAGAAAGGCATGAATGTGTTAGATGTCGGCTGTGGTGTTGGTGGTCCCGCAAGAGAAATTGCAACATTTACCGGATGTAATGTTGTTGGCTTGAACAATAATAGCTATCAAATTCAACGTGCGACAGGACATTCGAGGAGACAGGGGCTGGATAAGCAAGTTTCATTTTGAAAGGAGATTTTATGGTGAGTCTTGGGAAGCCGATTCTTATCTTTGCCAAAGAAAGATTGCTAGCGGAACTGTTGAAGAATATGGCATTCCCAGAGAACTCTTTTGACGCTGTATATGCTATCGAGGCTACAGTCCACGCGCCTTCACTTGAGGGTGTTTATTTCCAAATATTTCGCGTGCTTAAACCTGGTGGAACATTTGGTGTTTATGAATGGGTCGTAAGTCTAAATCTTTATAGTCCACGATTTTTCCAGTTTGAAAGTGAAACTGACCTTGGTTGTCATCAGATGACCGACAAGTACGACGAAACGAATCCAATCCATTGCTTAATCCGTCTCGGAATCGAGCGTGGAGATGGAATCGCAAACATGATGAGCCGTACCCATGCTCTCACAGCTATTAAAGCAGCCGGTTTTACCGTTGAATATGAAGATGATCTTGCAGCATACGATGATGCGATTCCGTGGTATACTCCTTTGTCGGGTGAATTCAAGCACGCGAAGAGCTTGTGGGATGTACTCCACGTGGTGAGGCTGACGATGATTGGAAGGTATGCGATGGGGGCACTTTTGAAGACTTTAGAGATGGTGAAGTTGGCGCCAAAGGGAACGGCGCAGACAGCCAGGGAATTGAGTCATGGTGCTGATGCTCTGGTTGCGGGGGCGAGGATGGGATTGTTCACGCCGATGTATTTGATAGTTGCGAAGAAGCCATTGTTGGTGGGTAGAGGTATTATAGTCAAAGCACTTTGCACTGTTTAGGATTTTTATTAATAATTGACGCTAGTATAAGAAATGCATCTTTTGGTACAAGCTCTGACTGTGTAATCTTACTACAAAATACCTTAATATTAGCGCGTATATATCATCATTCCACAGAATCATATTCATACTGATACTAGAAGCTCTATTATGTTCAATGAGACCATGCTTGCGCAGAAATCTGGGTTTTTGTAGAGATCATGAAGTTTGAGATGATTGAACATATCTCGTCAAAGCACACTGTATGTAGGGTGTGAGAAGCTAAACATGTGTGGCACCAGTATCCAACTTTCCGTCTAATAAAATAATACCACAAAAGAAACTTTGCCCAGAAGTCAATTAAATCCCAATCACTTAGAGCAAACCCCAGTACATCTTAATAAGATGCGAATTTGCAACGCAGCTATGAAAACCACCTCTTAGCAGGGCCAATAAGCATCCATATCACGATGTGGCGGTGAACCATTTCTATCCCACCCACCAACGTTGAAATGTGCCATCTTGCTATTACGATCAGTATCAACCACAGAGTTCCAGGTGTAAATCCCAGCCTGAATAATCACAGGTCTATTCTCATAGCTCCAGTCAATTCAAGCCGAACCTCCCCCTCCACCATCGCCACCTCCTACTCTCTTTTCATGCATCGCCCTCTTAATTTTGGTAGTCCTAGAAAAGGTGATTGAGACGTCGTAATCGAGTTTGCTATCTGCCTTGGAGATTGTGACGGTGCTCCAATTAACGCTTTGGAAGGTCTTTTAGGTGAGTTCTTTTCCACCGCCGTCTTTGACAGTCACTTCCGAGTCCAACGGATCCTTTCCGTCGTATACCTTTTCGGAGATATGCAGTGAACAATATCCTCCTTGGTAAGCCTTCGGTGGGGTTGGGGGTGGTGTCGGTGATGGTGTGGGTGTCTTAGTAGCATCAAAATCGGCCGGAAGGGTGACACTAGCGGTCGGGCAGATTGTTCCAGTCTCAGCGTAAAAGATAAGTTTGCAGTTGACGTAGGAACTGCGAGAGCACTGCTTGCTCAAAGTTGGAAGATCAGTCGGGAGAGATGGTTTCGAAGAACTTAAAGTAGTTGTGATTACGAGGGATGACGACGATTTTGATACTGTAGTGGTTGACAAAGTAGTAGGTTTGCTTGACTTCGCACTGGATGATCTGGAGCTAGAGATGGGCTTTTGACAAGTTCCATCTCGTTTTTGCTTTGCAGAACAAGGAATCCAGTTATCTTCGCCCATTACTTTGCTTTGTATATATAGTCGCCAGAAGTGCCGAGATGGGTTCCAATCCTCAGAAGTGCTCATGTCTGACTCTTGGGAGTTGCTATAAACCACCTAAACAGTAATCAGTAAATACTATGAGCACACTGCCAAAGTTCAAGTGACTTACAAGTGCTTTCCCAAAGACTCCATTTTGTCGGTATGGTCCGTTCAACTGTCTTGCGTATATGAATTTCTCAGTGGCACTAATGGGCACACCAGGTATCAATCTTCCAAGCAATGAAGTGATTTGATCCACCTTAGGTCCATAATCCACTGGCCAGTCGCCCTTTCCGGAGTCTCTTGCACTATCTTGTTCTTCCGCGCTGGGTGTCATAATATAAATCTTTGTCGTTGCGGTGTCCGCGAATTCTGGTTTATACTTTGAGATTTCCGTCTCCAAGTAATCAAGCGTGACTGTTTGAAATCGATCCGGAACCCCGCTTACAACTTGGAAACCGGGAGATTCCCACAAATGGCTCATCCAGGCGCCCTTGCGTGACACGACGATGACAGAAGTACATTCAGTCAAATACTCAACCATCAGGTTACCCTCCTTCTCATCAAAAGGTAGGAATCTTGATGATGATTTGCCAGTTTGTCAAAGTTCACCTTCTGTCTCATGCTCAACGTTGATACTGTTGCTACCGCTTATTTTGCTTCTCTTCTTCACTTCCTCATAGACTTCGTTTATGATCTCGGCATTCTCTACCCAGTCAAGAGTTCGCTTGTCGAGTCACTGTAAATTGTTTATTTCTCGCTTAGCTTCATATGGAGTAGAAGTCGGTGCTGCATGTCGCTTTGCTGGGTTACAAGCTGTGCATGTTGCTGCGCAAACCAACTTGAATTTCGATGAGGAGCTTGAGGAGGAAGTTGTTGATGTTTGGGAGGTTTGAGACGACGGCTTTTCCGGATCCTTCTCTCCACCTAGTAAGTCGTTAGCAAAATTAATCGAACCATATCCCTAAGCATATCTCAAGGGATTTTATCCGAAAATAACTTGAGTTGAGTAGACTCTCCTCTGGCTGAAGAGCCTGTGCTGGATGAGAGGAGTCAATATAAGAAATAGGGTAATTTACCTCCCCCTCCCCCTCCACCGCCACCACCACCACCTCCCGAGCTACCGCCCCCAACAGGTATTATGATCTGAGCACCCGATGTGTATGTAGCAATTGAAGTTGTATGATCATATGTGATAATGACAGTCGTTGGCGCACTAGCAATTGTCGTAAGAAAGGATGGAGAAGTTGACAATGAAGAGCTTATAGTTAGTGGTTTCAAAGTTGAGATAATACTCGTATTCGGGGGGAGATCAGCAGTAGAACTGGTCGTAGGCGTCACAATAGAACTTGAAGAAATACGGGTTGTATTCCCCCACGTGCCTGATTTGAAAGGACCCTGTCTCCGCTCGACATGATATATGTCGGAGAGTGCACTCGCATTATAAAGGAAAGTTGATAAAACGAGAAGGTGTGTCAAGGTAGAGACTGTAGATGGCGCCATGATGAAAATGAAATGTAAAAGGATGGTTTCCAAAACTGGAAGTCACAAGTATACAGAAGTGGGTAGACATCTCTTATATATGAAATTGAGAAGGACGAGAGAGAGATTTCTTGGTTCGCTTAGTATTTTGGGAGTTATGTGAACCCGTGGAGTGCAGTGCGGGCGAGTTCATATGACTGGTTCAGGCTATTTAACCGCAGTTGAAAATCAGCATCAAATTTAAGAAACCTGTAAGCCCAGTATAAGAATCGCACTCGTAGGGTCAGGTTGAAGATCACTACCAGTGCGAACCGTTCAGGTTTTCGCCCCAACAGCCATTTTGGGTTACTGCAACCCTGGCAAGTTGAAGGATCGTGTGTTTTAAGCACGAATGAGGACATAAGATCTTTTACGAGCATAGCGGGTCATGCTTGTAGGAATACATACCCTACACAATTAGACGTAGTCTCAGGAAAGCGCCCTACCTGAGTCCGTGTAAACTGCGCGCTTATAAAAAGGTCCCAAGTAAGTGCATGCATCAAGATAGCCAACTCATTAACAAACAAATATACTAATAAATCGATGACTTATTGACGAACAGAGTTCTCGTATAGGTTAGGGGTGCTTTTCTTCATCCCTTTCTTGAAACTTGCTTGGCTCACGAGAATAGGACGTCTTATTGAGAAAAAGGGTGATTTTTCTAGCCATCCAAAAAGAATATAACGTGTTTGATCCTACAATAATCACGGCAGGATCCCTTAAAAAAAGATTACCCTATGTAATTTCTTTCAGGTGGCACAGCCCCACCACAAAAGGCTCTACGCCGTAATTTGGTCGCTAAATTTAAGCTTGGCACCTATCGTGTGAGTGGTACGCATACAATTGATTGTTTGGTACAGTACAGTAAGCACACAACATCAATCAAGTTGAGCGAAGCTGATTCACCTGTAACTCCCATACATAATTGTTTTCAGGTTCATCCTAAAACGTTAGCCTCCAAACTTCACATAATTCTCTGTCATATCAAACTCTCCAAACCAGAACCACCAGTCAACTCACCCTACGAGGCTAAAATCCAGAAATATTAGAGGGAAACAATGTCGACACCTCCCCCAAAAAATCCTCGTCGTCACCCAGCACAACTCCTCATCGAAGCATGCAAAACCGACGACCTATCTATTTTCCTAGAAGCCCTATCCCTCGCTCCATCTAAACAAGACTTCATCTCATCCGCCGTCACAAAATACATCCGCAAAAACGCAACCAAAATCCTCTCCTACGCTCTTGACCACGGCGGCGAAGTCCCAACGAATGGATGCTTCCCGACTGAGCAAGATGTAGCACCTTCTACAGAAATTCTCGAGATCCTTCTTTCCCACGGCTGGGACATCAACGCACGAACCATAGGCGATACCCCTTTCCTCTGGTACGCAGTGTGCTTCAGTCACGAGTTAGTCGCATGGTGTTCAGATCACGGGGCGACGGCCACGACTAAAGACCTCCATCTCGAGACGCAAGAGGATCGGTGAAAGATGAATTTGGATGTCCCTCTATACTGGAAAAAGCAGCTGCAAATGCCACAGTCGAGACCTTTGAATTGCTCCGGTCTAAAGGCGCAAAACTTAGTAGAAGAACATTACATTTCGCAGCAGCGGCTACATACAAATCCCGAGTGTCTGATGAATACACGGAGAGTTCCACCGAGGAGAAGTTCTCCCAACGTCTAGCAATGGTGAAACATCTCATTGAGACAATCGGAATAGATCCAAATGCTCTGGACCAACCTGTGGGATATACTTTGGGTAATCACTGGGGAACGCCTCTGTGTTATGTCGCTAAACGTCTGGCGAATCCGAAATGGAATACGGAAGAAGTTGTCAGGTATCTTTTGAGCAAAGGTGCAGATCCAGAGATGACTATGGATCCTTCTGGGTTTAGCGCGAGGTCTTTTGCGACAGATGCGAGTAATCAGCAGATGTTGAAGCTTTTTGATGGTTGGAAGGCTCGTCGGACTGGCGACGGTGGTGTGTAGAATTTGTGCAGATTTAGAAATATAAGAAGGTTCGAAAGTCGGCAGAATGACTAGTGACTGTTCCTTGTTGGTAACTGAAAAGTACCATACTTGCTGCACTAGACTTACGTACGTCGATACAAACTTCAGGTGTTTCTTTTAGAGGCAACTTTACGGTACAGCAATTAAGTATCGTGATCAGTATCTACTTTTTCCAATTGACATATTCCGGTAAACGTCTGCAATTAAAGGCTGGGGCTTCAAAAACACTTCCCAATTAAGCAAATGAAGCTATTCATTTAATCATTCAAAGAAGCACAAGCGGGTTAAATATGCTCATCCATAAGAATAAACATATCTAAACAGAAAATAACAGACTTCGTGGCCGAATCACGTGAATCATCCAAACCACATAGACAATCAAGTTACCAGTGTCTTCCTACCTAGTAGGAGAATATATATCAATGGCTAGAAGAACCCGCTTGTTCTTAGACCGCAGTAGCTGTGGATACTTGAACATATGGGGAAAGCTGTGAATAGATTAGGGAGGATTATCGTCTACATGATCAAAGAAGTAATATCACGAGTTCTCAGGAGATACTGTAGACTGGCACTGTATTGTAACTACAACCGTAGGAAGCGATGTAAACACCATCTACACCACAAAAACACGTACAAACAAAGTTTCTAAGTTCTTCAAATGGCCAGCCATTGGGTTCTGTGATACGGACATGACGTGGATGGATATTTTGGGATTGAAAGGTGTGGCAAGCAATGGAAATACTCTGTTTCGTGTGCTGCTATAGTAGACTAGCATCGCCCCTGTTTCGCTTATGATACGAGTGATATCCTAATTTTGATTCTCCAGGTGCTTATTCGTTTTGTGGAGAGAGATGGCGAGTGAGTTCGTGTAGATGACGTTGTTGATGCTACAGTAGAAGCTCATGCTCGAGATATCTTGTCGGTTTTTTCAAGCAAAAAGAGTTATGTATGTACTTGTATACAATCCACTTCTTTACAATGAAAAAGGAAGGCCACGTCCCCAAAATGACAACACCAACCACCTACACAAACAAAACTCTCATCAAGAAAACTCAGGAGCCATATCAAATCCCCTCTTATATCTACTAACCCCCCTAACTAACCCGCCCCCCCTTCTCAAACCCATGCACAATATNCTCCTACACGTCCCCCTCCCAAGATTGCACGGCCCACAACACCACACCCCATCCCACGCCTCCCTACACGGTCCCAAATCCGTATAAGCCGCCAGCACCAGACTCATACCCTTCCTCCCGCCCTTCAGCTCCTTCGTCGGGTCCCTCTTGCCCTTCGCGAGCGCCCCGAATGGGAGCGGGACCAGCTCTGTGCCTTGCGCCATTTGGATGTGGTACTCGGTCGGGCAGTGAGGGCATGCGCGGATAGGGGCGGCGGGTGGGATGAGGGGGGTTGTCGGGGTGGAGGAAGAGTCGGAGTGAGGATGTGGGCGGGGGAGGAGGGAGCGGAGGAGGGATTTGGGATCTCGCTTAGCGGTTGACTTAACAACAGAGGAATTTGCGGGGCCCCCTTGGGGATCTTCGTCTTCTGTCTCTGGGGTATCTTCGTTCACTGCTCCTCTATCGAGCCTATACCTAGGATTTTGAGGATCAAGAAACATCAGTCCACGCGAGCATTCGCTCGCAATATACAGATCGAACCACCCATCCGCCTTCGCACTCCGATAGAGATGCGAGCAAACAATCAGATCCCCAGTCCTCTGCGTAATCTCCCTCGCATCTGTGCCAAAGGGGATGAAGATCTTGAAGTACGACCGTACGAGCAACGAGCCGTCCTTGATTTTACACGTGCGTGTCTGATGCCAGCGGATTCGCTTGTAGAAAGGCGTCGGACGGATGCGGCAGTAGTTTAATTCTGATAACTCCCTGTCTACATTCATTCCTTTCCGATACTTCTTCATGACGTCCTCGCAGCTGGCGAAGTTGAGGCGCGAGTCGGTGAAGACGTTGTAACAGCTTGGTGTCGTTTGTCTCCGTAGGGCAGCATCACAGGGCCTTTTCTGTGTTTTTTTCTCGACCCTTGAACGGAGGTTAGGAGGGGTGTATGCGTGGATCTTTCCGCATTCCTCACAGAATCTCTTCCCTATCATGTCCTGAGAGAGCAGCACCAAAAAGTTTCGGCGATGGAAGTAGCTCTCAAACGTATGCGGCAAGGCGAACGTGTTGGATGTCATGGCGAATAGATACCCAGTCCCGATTTTAGAATAAAGATCTTTGCAAACTAGTGAGAGGATGGCGGCTTCACACGGTCGGAGGAAGGTCGCGATGTACTGCAGGACCTCGGGAACGAGTTGTGTGAAGCTGTTGTTGCGATTCGGTCCCTCGTCCTCGTTCTCGTCCTCGTTCGATGCGAGGCTTGCGGGTGAGAGTAGGGGCTGGTATACATTCGGATCCCGATCTTTTTCAGAATTCTTTCGGGAAGAAATGAGGTTTCGAAGCTTAACGCTTTTTCTTCCACTGGGAGATTTTGGAGCGGGTATTGGTTTGGACAGTTGGGACTCTGATTTTGAGAGGCTTGGTCTTTCTGTTGTTGCTGAGGGGTGGGAGGAGCGGGAGGTGGAGTTGATTATCAGCATTGAGGAGGCACAGATAATTGCTGTAGACATAGACATTCTAGATCGAATTAGCAGTATTTCATGAACGAGGGTGGATATGAGGAACTTACTTGAAGCGCTTGCTTAACAGAATGGGTATATATAAAGACGGAAAAGAGAATTGGGATGAAGGGCTTGTGGTGTGGAAAAAGAAAGCAACGAGTGACAAGAAGGAATCAATGAGAAGAGAATGGAGAGTTAGATTTTCGTGGGAGGGAGTGAGGGTATGAGGGCGAACGAAATTAGTTAGTACGTGAGCTACTTTATCTAGCCCTACCACAAAAGAAAAAAACCGAAGTGAAGATTAAATGTTGGTGACAACAGGACTTTGAACTAGAAAAAGAATCTACGCCGTTATAGGCGAGGACGTCGGTCATTGAATGGGAAATCCCGGGGCCGTAATCCGTATAAAGGATTGCAACGAAGCATAGAAGATATCAAGCTTAAAATTCTGTAACCTGTAAGCGTTTACAACATACGAAGGCTCTTGATAAACATGGGATTGATGACAGGGACCAGTAGAAAATGAAGACTGCTTGAAAACTATAATTACGTTGATTTTAATACGCATCATCAACTATAAACTTGGAAAAGGTTCAGTGCCAGGAGACATCACAGTCGGAGACTCAGTAACCATCCCCTCCGTCACCAAAGGTAGCGCACTCTTGCTTCTCTTCCTCCTCAAACTTGCCCTTTTCGGTCCAAACCCAAACCCATTTTGAGGAACAAACATCTGACCGGAAGTATCAATAGTTGCACTTCTCTGCAATCTCCCCGCATACCGCTCCCTAGGGCCGGCACTTAATGGACTGAATGGACTCGTTACTCCATTAGGTGTCATCGTCCCCGAAATCGTTAATCTTCGTCTGCCGGTATTGATCTGCGTCATCAAAGGAGCCGGTCTCTCTACTGGTCTGTACATTTGTACCAACGTCACCACGGCATATACAATCCCCACACCTATAGTGACGAGATCCAAAATATGAACGAGCCACCAGATGTGTTGCGTCCCAAGACCACAATTCACAAATTCGTATTTCCAATCCCAACTTTCTTCATCAAACCACAAACTCAATAACCCTGCATTTCCAGCAAAACTACCCATCATGCTTCGAACGGTGATTTCTCTCAAACCCGGCATCATAGGTTCATCGTAAAGTTTGGAATTCATTGCGTCTTTCCAGGTCACCGCCTCCCATTCGCGTTCTGGTGGTGCGGTTTGGTTGATGTAATGATATGTATCACATCCTTCGTGATCATGGCCCGTGAGAATGAGTCCACCTCGTCCTAGTCCGTAGCCTGGCACATCAACATTCCCACTCATCCCGAATATGCCCTCCAAGAATCCACTGGAGGCAGGAGCTGAAAGATGGTTCTGCTCCTTTACACCACCGCCAAAGTCGCCCTGGAAGAAGTCAAAGAAAGGCCCATCGACACAAATGCCTTCCTTTTTATACATTGGTATGTGGGTCAGAAGAATAGTGAAATGCGCCGGTCGAGAAACGTCCTCAGAGTGTGTTATGACTTCATTAAGATAGGCGTAGGTCTCCTCTTGCAGTTCTACAATATTGGCTGGCGTATCCAGGTTCATCGAATTCAACACCACAATTCGCAATTCTGGAACTGGATGAGTTTCTTCTGCGTCCTCTGCCCCCGCCTCGTCCACCGCATCCCGATTATTATTGATAGGCATCCTAAATCGCAATTCGTAATTTGGCTTTCCAAACACTCGATCAAACCGTTCCATTCGTTCCCTGGAGAGATCTCCAGCATATCCAATATCATGATTCCCTGCGACATTCAAGACCGTCTTCCTCCAAACTTCCGCATCTCCTCCAAGTATTCTGTAATCCTGAAAATGCTCGCTGGGCTGTGCGGTCATCTCATCTGGAATTCGTTCTCCCCCGCGCATCACCCGATTCCAATACCTCCATCCCCGCGACTCGAACTCAGGATCCTCAATCCATTGGCTCCCCACTAAGTCCCCCAAGACCGTAACATGGGTAGGTTCCGCCCACCAATCCAAAGTCTTGTAGATATGTCCCAAATAATAATCGTTCCCAATATGATCCAGTCGTTTCCTGTAGAATTCGAGGAAGTCCGGAATATCCTCCAGGTAAAAGTCCACTAGGTCATGCAAACTGTGTCTCAGTCGCTGAAGAGGATTATGCCTCGTCCCATCCAGCAACAAAGCATCTCTCCAAAACTTATTTAAATTTGGGAAGTAAGGAGCGTCAGGATCGTGGTATGGAGGGATTCCCTCAAGTTGTGGATCTCCCAGCGCAAGCAGTCGGAAGGGAGCTATCGCCTCGGGATCATGCTTCGCAAAGGGGTTGTGTTTTCGCACAGTATTCTTGTATGCTGAGGGCCCATGGGGATCTGGGGCGGGAAAGGCGCATAGATGGAAGAAGGGGTAGTAGTAGAGGTAGGTGGTGAGGAGGAAGGAAACTGGCACGAGAGCGAACAGCGCATTCCGGAGCACAGAGGCGAAGTACATGTAGAACCCAGCATTTGAGTGCGATGGCTTGCAGAAGGGGAGAGGTTTGCTGGCAGAGAGAAGGAATGAGTATTTCGTCTGAAGCTCATCTGATAAATCCAACGCGGCGCTTAAAGTTGCGGTACTCGAATAACAGGGTGTTCTGAAAGGGTTCGGGCCGCAATCCATGCATCCGATCAGTCCGATCGGTGTGGATATCGAGGGCCTGACTTCAATCCTCTGAGCTCTCAAATTTGAGACTATTATTCTGCACTGCAACTTATCTGGTCAGTTTGGTCAACATAATTTGTTATGCGCTACAACAAAAACAGCAGACCCAAGCGAGTTTGAGACAAGTACTCAATCACCAAACCTCAAGCTGAGGCCCATTACTGAACTTGATAGATACTTCCATTTGTATCTATCTTCTGCTAATTTCAGTCACAAATCCATCGACAACGTTTCCCCGTTGCGATCATTGCTGGAAAAGACTTCATTTTGAAAGAGACAACACCCGTAACGATCCCGCTCCTTCATCAAGCCTTGGATCCTACCAGTCCATCGTCAGTACTGTGTCCCGATATCACCATGGTCTATCTCTGGAAGGAGACGCCCCACCCCGGACCAAACGTGCTTGGAAATCTTGCAACGACTCTGAATCTCCGTCAGAACCATGAACCGCTGCGTTAGTAGCCACATCATCTGCGATTCCAACACTCTTCTCAGAGGGCTTTAGAAAAGACCAGTCTTCCAAAGCCTGCTTTTCCATAGTTTCCGCACCACCATTATTACCAGAATGGGGATCCGATGCGACAGAAGATGGTGGTGTGTCTTTCAAATGCTTGATCTCAGCTCGTAGCAGCTTGATTTCCTCCCAGAGTTGTGCTGCTGTTGGCGCTGTATCCTGGCCAGGGAATGCGACTTGGAAAGCCAGATTGTCAGTCTTCTTAGCTGCATTATTTACGTTCTTTGCTTGTTCTTTTTCCTTGAGATGGGCCGTGACAGTCTGCTCAGCTACTTGGATTGATGGAACCGGGGTTGCTGACATCAACTTTTCACTAAGTACTTTCAGTCCGTTCATTACATTGGTCTTTGCTTTGGTGACCTTCTCGAGATCCTCGATGATTGAGCTTTCTGCCTGCAAGTCTCTGGTGGGTTGTTCGAAAGTTTTCTCAGTTGCCCGGAATGATGGGGTCGGGTTAAATTTCGTCTTTTCGACTTCGTCTTGCAACTCGTTGCACTGGCGAACAAGCTGTGATTTCGATTCGCTCATCGAAGTTTCAATGGCAGAAATTTTTTGTTGCAGTCTCAATTCCATGTTGAATAAGCTGGCAGTGGTTGTCTGCATGTTTTGATGAATCTTGTTGTCTACTTCATGACGGGTGACACCAAACTCCGAATTGCTTGACATGGACTGCATGACTGCCTCTCGGATCGTCTTGTCGATATGACTGATAAGTCCAGACTTGTCAATGTCGACTTCGCAATCGATCTTATCCGACACCTTGTAGGTTGGAGATTGGGATGCCTTGATTCTCTCATCGACATTGTCAAGTATTTCGGCCTTGGAGGACTCGATACGAGCGTTATGTCTATCAATTTGCTCGTTGGTTGCCTTGATACCATCGTTGACGACCTTCGTCATTTCGGCGACTTGTGCTTTAATGGCATCTTGTACCTTTTGGAGAGTCAGCTCTTGCGAGGCTTTGACCTTATCCTCAACCAATTTTTGAATATGCTGGTGTGTTTGGCCTTCGATATCGGATGCCGAATCTTCATTTTCTTCAAGCCGACTCTGGCGAGCCTCCCACCATCGTGCGTCTACCTTATACTTGGTGATTGCCTTCCGCAACATCCTCGCGTACCACTCTTCCATGCTCGTCTTTTCTCCCACGTTTGTCTCCTTTGAATTCGGCCACATGAATGGGATATCGTACAGGGGAACTTTCTTTTCCTTTGGGATGTGTTCGACCGAAAGGGCCACGTGGAACTCATAACCATTAGCTAGAACATGGACAATTCTGTTAACCAAAGGCGCCCAGATGTCCCATCCATCGATTTCTTGGCAATATTTGGCGCAGAGTGCAGAACTGAAAGAACTTTGAGCCTCAGATCGAATTTTAGGTAGTATCTCCCCTTTGATGATAGGGTGAATGTCTTCAGCATGGCGGTCTGGGCAAGTGTATGCAACCTTCTTGAAGTTCTCGGAGACGCGTTTGACCAGAGTTGTGAAGTCCTTCGCGACTGACTGGCATGTTGGTCCAGGTAAAATGGAGTTGGCCTCGAAGTCCGATGGTGAATCTGCACAAGCCAGGACCATCTTGATGAGCTTTCGCTCGAAGGAATCAGACTCATAAATTGTCTTCAAAGGACTGTCGCCATCAATTACCATTTGGAGGCGCCGGGCACATGCTGTCGTCTCCTTGTCCACGGAGAAGATATCTACACCCTGTGCGCAAGCTACCCTATCCTTTTCCATGATGAAGATTGCAACCTTGAGGTCTCGGATTGTTGATATTTCGGTATCTGGTTTCGAGGTGGAGCGGCGTGGTGGTGTTGATGTTGTAGTTGAAATTGTAAGTTGGAGGAGTCGACGACCATGTCTTAAGTGCGGGGGAAATGAGGGCAAACGCGTCGATGTGAATCCAACGACCACCACCAATCAACAACAAGGCTCCAGCGCGGGAAAGTAGATCATGCAAAGCGGCAACGTTTGGGCTTGCGAACTCACTTCGTTGCAGTCATCACCTCACCTCTAAGGTTGAGGTGAAGTGTATCAGCATCCAAGGCAGCTTCATTCTGGCTTCAGTCATCGGATCTGCGAATAGCTTCCATGCTGTCCCCCGGAATGTCTCCTATGAGACTGACTAGGCCAATCGGCCTCGGACTGCCAAACGTCCTTTGAAAGAAAATTTGGAAGGGGCAAACTCCCCCTTAGTGTTCTCCAAGATTTTCTGGAGTGAGGACCACGATCATCGTTTGGATGAAACTGAAAACTCACTCGTCACCAACAGCTTCCTCTCCAGGTTTAGTACAAGAAGTAATCTTACCTTCGAATCCGTTCCTTACTCATAACAAGCTACATTATCACAGATTATCGAAGGACAGATCTAACACTCTGTATTTATTTCATTTAACGAGTACTTGGGTATATTTCTTATCCTGGGATGGCCCACGGCGGTCTACTTTCGTGATTAGATTTAGTGATAATATGATAAGACTCAAGAAAGTATTGCAAAGTGAAGTTTTAGGGATGGAGGTAAGCTTATAATTCCTATAGTCATCCGTGAAACTATGATACGTTGCACAATACTGATACTAGATTCTCCAGTAGAAATTAAATATCTCCAGCTTTCATTGGCGATTTGTCAAACACCATTTTCGAATCGGATAGAAAGATTATAGGGAAGAAACTTGTAATTCGTGATTGCACCATGTTAGATCTTAGCGTTCGCAAGTGGACTTTTAGCTGCTGAGGTTGTAGTGATGGCTATCACCAAGGCGAGGAAAGTTAGGTTCGGTATGGCTTTTCTGAGACACGTTCTTGGGAGAATCTAAATTCAAAACTGTAGTAAGATTACTCCCATACTGCAACCCTAAAGTGTAGTACAGGCGAGAGGTGCTCTTCAGCTTTAAATACCTATATCCTTACGAAGGTCGGATTCAGAGTTGTAAGAAAGTAGTCAATAACTTGAGGACTACTTAGGGTTACTCTAAGTTGAGTTGAGTTGGGTAGTGGATTTAATTACTTGAGTAGTACATCGGGCCGCGTGTCGGGTGGCCGGTCCGACTACTCCGTTGTTCGTCGCTTATGCCGCCTGCAGTTAGGTCGGGGGCCCGACGCTCGGCCCGATGTACTACTCGAGTAGTACTCAACTCAAGTTGAGTACTTGGCAAGTTGAGTTGAATAGGTGCTAGCACCTAACTTGACTTTTAGAGGGAAATTCCCATTCTTACCAAAAAACGAAATCTCAATATCAAGCCCTTGACCGATTCTCTCCGACAATTAGATGAGGATCTGAACCATCAAAGTTTTACTTAAATAGCAGATTGTGAAGAAGACATGTAATTGGTCCTACAAGCAGTCGGATACGAAATCCTGATGCCAAGGGCAATAAGAAATAAGCGGCACCTATGAAGCGTATCACATTAGAAGAGGGGTGTAGAGGTGTTCGATTCGCAGCGGCAAGCTCGCCAGAGAGCCTCATTGGGAAATCTTGTGCAATCTTAAACTCTAGGCATCACTCTATCAAAAACGCCTCACATACTTTTCAAGTATGATATCTGATACTCCTCGTGTGCGTTTTCGTGTGGAGTCGCACATTACACTAATGCAGAAGTGAGCAGAAGTGAGCAAGTTAGAGGGTTTTTATGCTATTGGCTGGTTCCCTGTCTGAATGAGGCGATGAACTTTACGCCGTTCTGCTGCAGTAGAACCAAGATCTAGAAAGGGTAATGTCCGCCTCAAATCTTCCCGGCTTCCGCCTTTAAAAATGGGGTGAGATTTTCGTAAGCTGGAGTAGCAAATAAAATGGTGGGAAATACCCAATGTGGAGTTTGGAATAAGCTTTCGCTTTGTACCCCACGGGGCTGAGTTGGCCTGCACACGACGTTAGTTGATGCCAATGAACCAGTAATCTTTCTTGGAACTTTGTTGCCTACAAGGGTTTGTGCTTCCATTTTCCTTCCATTTAGCTTCTAGCGTGAATCCTTCGCAGGGCTCATCCAATTGCTTCAGCCACAGTCATATTATCCAATCACGTGAAGGAGCGTACGCAGTGAGAAGGAACGACCAACAACGACAATGGATTGGAGGCACAAGGGCTGAGCATCTGCTGATATATAGGGAAGCTGTGGCCCATGGTACAGCCTGATTACATTCATTCTCTTCATACAACCTATGGGTATTAGAGTCACAAAAACTTTATGAAGAACTCATTTCCAAGTCTTGACTCAAGCAAGCAAACAAACCTGTGCCACAACCACACACAACCTCATTCCAAAGCAGATAGCGGGATTCCCGCAACATCAGTGCAAAATGCCGGGCCTCAAGAGCATCATATCTTCTCGCAAGGAGCAGAAAGATGCTGAGAAGGTGAGCCAAGTCCACGCCAATCACCCACCTACTCCCCCAAAGTCCACAGAACCAACCAGTTCCAAAGAAGCACCACCATCCTATGCAGCCCAAGACCCCATCACGAACGGACCTACCCAAGAAGAGCTCTGCTCCGCCTTTGCAAATCTCGATATCCCAAGCGAAGCCATCGCTCCCACGACAGAAACATGTCTTGCACATCTCAAACTCCTTCACTGCTTCCATGCTTTGAAAGAAGATGTTGGGTACACAGATGGGCTGTTTGGTATCTGGGATGCGAGAGCTGAGTTGGCTGAGAATAGGGAGGATACATTGGGCAAGATTAGAGAGAAGAGATGGTCTATCTATATCGCTCGCGCGGTGGAGAGATTCGAAGATTGGTGGATGAAGTTTTTGTGTTCGCTGGATAACTCTGAGAGGTTGGAGTGTAAGAATATGGTACAGACCAACCCGATGTTTGCGGGGTTTGCTGTCACGGAAATGAACACCATCATGTGGACCAGAGAGATGTTGCCTCCGATTGGTATGTTAATTTCTTGAAGCGTTCGATGCCATGTACTAATGACTATAGACGTCCTCATGGTTTGGCATTCTTTCATGTTGAATCCTCGAAACTATCTCGAAGATTGCATTCGATTTGGTTTGAACAAAGTCTGGGCCACGGGTATGCCCTGGGCTGCTGTCAATGCGGTAATCGATGTCAACTTCAACTACCTCGTCCCGGAACAAGCCCAGGTGTCTTTCATTGCCACGACTGGTCATAATTGGGATAATGCTCAAGATTCCATGACAAAGCAAATCAACTGTCCCATTTGTTCCAACAAATTGGAGATTCCATGGACCACTTTTGGGATGAGTGAGAAGCCATCGAAACAGGAGACCGATGATCTGTTTGCTACCGGTTATGCAGATAAAGACCTTTCCTACGTCTGTAACAAATGTGGTTGCGAAGTCAATCATGATCTTTTGCGAGCCGCCAAGTTTAAGAGGGAGACGGAGAATCTTATTCTCAGAGACTGGCCGCTTGGAGGTACCATCTTGTCCCCAGTGTCAGGCAGTCCCGATGCACCCGATATTGATGATTTGAAGGATTGGCCACCCACCTTCCCTAATCGAATGGTTCAGAAAATACTCAGATCACAGGTCTTATCGCTCATTGGTCCTGAAAACCCTCAACCAAACATGGATCAAATCAAGGAAATCGTTGAAAGGGCCATCTCCACCAAGGATAATATTAGAACTATCAATGGCTTATCACGTCGAGGCTATGGAACTCTCAGGAGAGAGGAGAAGATTTCAATTCGAAGGTATGTCGATTATTCCGTGCTACAGCCCAGTGCTCCTCCTACTCAATTACAGCCGAGCCGATGCTAACATATCATAGAATGATGTCTCGATACTGGGAAAATAGATCAATCTTTGCTCTCGAACTTGGTGGCGCAGTGATCCGACAGAGTGTTTTCGTGGAGAAGATGCATGGTCTTGATTGGCTTCATAGCCCAGCTGCCACTCAGACTATGGAACGATTGGTTCTCAAGTACTCACGATTTATCCACATCATGGCCAAGAACCCGCTTCATACGGTAGTCCCAACACTTGATGTTGACCTGGGATGGCATACCCATCAACTGTCTCCCAAGTCATACTATGATTCTACGGTGAAGGAATGTGACAAATTTATTGATCATGATGACAAGATTAGCGAGGATGCTCTTGAGTAAGTAATCACTTCCATTGATCCCCCCCAAGAGTCTGTTACAAAAACCTCTGCCACATCTTATCCTTCATCATTTCAACAAGACTTGACAGTTACTAACCGACCTATAGGAAAGGCTTCGAGTTCACGAGTCAGGCGTATGAAAAGTTATATCAAGAGGTCTATTCCGAATGCACATGCTGGTACTGTGAAGCCATCCGCTGCAAACACACAGCCAACCATCCCAAAATTTTCGGTACCTCCAAGCACGAAAAGATCGCCAACAACTTCCACGACTCCGGTAAGCCTTCTACTTTCTAATTTCCACCATCAAACAAAATGCTAACATCACATCAGGCGCAGCCAAACTCTGCCCCCCCTCAAACTCCGCCCACATCTCCACCCACAACGCCGTCAAAATCTCCGACTCAACCACCCGATCCGCAGTCACTGACCGTTTGCGCACCCGCCGCCAAAAGATACTCGACGACGCCTACGAGAAGGCACGCAAACGCGCCAAGGCCAAAGGCCGTGATCTCCCACCCAAAGACCAGTATTACATGGCTCAATGGGGATACCCCTACATGATGTATGGACCCTACATGGCGGTTCCGTATTACGGGGGAACGTATTATACGGGTGATCCGTGTGTGATGCCTGTTGGAGCTGGTATGACGGGGAACTGTGCGGCGGGGAGTTGTGGGGGTACGATTGGAGCTGGGGGTTGTGGGGGCCCCGGAGGAT